ACGGATGCTCCAGGCGGTTGTTACATGTATCCAAGAAACAAGCAAAATGTGCTTCAGGCAGCACTAAATTCCATGAAGCGTCACTTGTGCCAGCTGCTGTGCAGCAGCGGGGATGAGGGGCAGTGCTGGCTGCTGAGGAGCACCGGTCGTTTTAGCGGGGTCGTGCACACCGTCTGAGGGACTGGGTATCCTACAAGAGGGGCCAAAGCAGAAGCCAAGGTGTCCAAAAGTCATACGATCTTAAGAACGTTACCAGGCCAGTTTAAACTTGAGTTTAACACAAGAAAGTCAGTTGAGCCTGTTCCATTTTATATGGAAAACTGAACATCTACTGGACCAGAATTTTTTGCATTTGCAAAAACTGACTGTGCGGTGACATACGAAGCGGAACGAGGATATGTTTTCCTTTTTTGATTGTAGTGGCAATAAATCCCCAGCTCCAATGGCGACTCCAGCAGCAGATGCCATTGATTGCCCCTGTGAAATCTGCTACAAACTAGCCAAAATAACAATCCCACATGCTCTGTGTATGTGACTAGAGGATCACAGTAACCTCCTACTACTCAAATTCTACACAGAAGCTCTTAACGTAAGAGCTCAGTATATTTTAACTGTTCTTTTCCAATGATGAAGGTCCCAGGAAGTAGGGAAGGGAAGAAAATGATATGTGAAATCAACTGGTTTCTCGTTATTAGCTTACACGTTCCATAATGTATCTTTACGATGTTACTTGACTGCCTCAAGTTATTTTAAATACAGCTTTTCCCCCATTTTGAAGTTAGTTAATTCAAGTATTTATTGGCAAATGGTAATCCCTTCCTTTTGGTACCTAAGTCTTCACCCATTAGTCAGGAGTACCATTCATGTTTCTTCATGTTTATCTATTTATCTTTTTTTTTTTAGCAAAAACTAGAAAGGCAAAAAGTATTTTTCAGTCCAATTTCTTTTACACTGCTTGTGAAATAAGAACTGAAAAGCACTGTGAGAAATGCACTGAAATGCAGTAGCTTCAGTACAGCACTGCTGTTTTGTTATTATTTACGGGATTTACAGCCAAGCAATCTCATCACTTCTTTTTTAATTGAAACTAATTCAAACTTACTAAATAATCCACCAGGATTTAGAGCAGAAGCTTAGACATCAACAGAATATATATCTTTTCCATTTAGTGGGGTTCAAGCAAATCAGTCAGAATGCTGGACTAAAGAAAAGCACTCTAAACTTCTGAGCTCTTAAAAGATACATTTCAAAGTAGCAAGTAACTTTCTAAAGCAATTTAGATATAGTCTGTATTCATTTTATAAGCCCCTCTAAACATTGATATGCAATCTCCTCTATAAAATCAAAAGCATGCTTCTGCATTTATATGCTATACCTTACAATAATTATTTGAATGGAAGATCCATGTGCTAGCACAAATCACTGCTGCTCTTGAAAACATGTCTTTAAAATGTGCAGTGCAGAATTACCCGATTCATCCAGCATATCCTGATACCTAATTTTTGTAGGGGAGACTAAGTTATTTGTCTCCATAACGTGCAAAACAGTGACAACACATGAAAACCAGGTGTCTACCTGAGTGATGTCCATTCCAGAGTCACAGCTCAATGGCTGGGTTGATGTGAGGCCATTTGAACCTATTATTGTTGTGATCACACCATTCTCATCAATTTTCCGAATCATGGTACCATCAACGAAGTAAATAAATCCGTGCTTATCTACAGTGATACCTGGATGAAAGGAAAGGTTAAAAAAAAAAAAAAGTTAGTACTGACATTATCTAGATTGGAGAGTATGACCTTAAAGTGTTTCCTTTCCTCTTAGATTCTGAAAATCTGATGATTAAAAAAAGTATGAGTCAATTTTTTCTAATACTTATTTGAAGCTTATGCAAAGTGTGGAAAGATGTTATCCAGATATCAGAGCATCTCCGACTTACAGAGACATAGAGAAGAAACAGAACAAAGCAGCATATGCGCTTGTGACATATATTCGTAGAATTGTGCTCTTCAATAACTTTGCATTATGTCCTTCATCACAGACAGTGGGTAAGACTAGCTTTTCTAAAAACTTACCTTATAGTTGATTTTTCTTCATTTTCACTTTCTTAATTCTCACGCAGAGGCAAAATTCTTACATTTCTGTATTGTGTGCATCATCAGAGCACCTGGGCAAGTAGGAGGCACCCATGAAAAGCCAACGAGATCCTTGCTGCGGAAGGGGGTATCCATACAAATGGTCCACCCTCACAGTGTTCCCCAAAACACATGATTATGTACCAGAAATAAGCTAGTCCCCCGACAACAGGAGACTTCAGGATACTCCAGCATGCGCTAACGTGGCTCTGCCCCTTTCGGTACCTGCAGTAGCTCTAGCATCACTACACTGCACTGCTTTGCAAAGCAGGGACAGACCCTAAAGCAAATGGGACGGCTAGGCAAAGGGAACTCCATGCTCTTCTTTATCAAAGTGGGGAAACGGAAGCACAGATCTACGTGAGTCCTTGCTGCCTCATGCTGGCCGTGCTGGCAGCACCACGTCACGACTCGTGCCCAGCCCTGCTCTGTCCCAGCCTAACGCTTCCCCCACGGGTCTTCCTGCACTCCTGTTTTGCTAGACTTTTCTATATTGTGTGAAATGTAAGTATAGTCTTTATTCCCTGAAATATTGAAAACAGCTAGAAAAGCACTTCTATTCAAGATGGGTCTGTAAAATCCTTTCTACCCAAACTGCTCAATTTCTTGCTTTAAACTACTTCATAATTTCCCATTTAAAGTTGCATAACTTCGCAATTACAGCATCTGCTGTGCACAGCCAGGCTCTTTTAATAATGAATTTATGTTCTGCTACATAGAAACGAAAGGCAGAGGACTTGAACAGATGGTTTGGAGAGTGGCTGATACGGCTCTCGATTTTTGTCCCCGGCATTTAGCACAACTGACGGCTACGCGTACTCGGAGTTTGCAAAAGGCTTGCTTGCATGCCCGTTTGGAATACCACACAGCACTTCCATAAGCCGTTAAAAACGAAAGAAAAAACCCAATCCCCCTCCACTTCTTTAACCTTTAAATATACAGGAGCAGGTGTAACTGGGAGTCAGGGCATGCAGTAAGGGAAGGGGCAGTCTCCTGGGGCCCGAGGACATCCTTCACCTGGCAGCTGGAGGCATCTGGCGATTACAGATGCTTGAGCGCAACATGCTTTCTCTTAGGGCATTAACACCCAGCGGAAGGGCCGAGTAAGGCTGTGAAGGGTACACGCTTTCAGATACGTGCTGTCGTAATATCCCCAGTTGTTTCAGCTCCCATTCGGAGGCACCTTTTCACTCTATGTGACATTTAGGCGGCTCTCCAAGGTCTGAGGGCATCACCATAAAAAAAAGAAAAAAAATCCAAAGGCCACAGCAGTTAACTTTTTAGTGTCTAACTATTCGACTACATTCAGTCTTCAGGCTATTAGTATAGTGCTGGTAGCTGAAATTAGTACTTGGAAATCAGCAATTCGGTGTATTCATCTGCCTGTAAACTGCAGTTAGAAGACTGGTAATCGCTGTCCTCTCATGTCCTCCATTTTGGACAAAAAGTGCCCAAGGACTGCTTAATTGCCTTAGGCTACAGGGCCAGGATACGTTGGTTCATGGTCTGAAAGGGCTCACCACTGAAATGCAAAAGGCAGATGTCAGCAGCGGGAATGACGGTCCCGGGGGGCATGCGGGACAGGGCCAGCCAGGAGGAAGCTGGACACTGGCTCTCCCGGCACGCGAGCTCCCTGAGGATGCCTCCTCCGTACAGCACTCTCAGAAGATCGTTACTCTTTAATTAGAGAGTAATGGTGCAGGCAGAAACTTTGTACGAAGCCTGGCAGATCCCATCTGCCATGTGCTTCTGAGTAGTCACCTTATGAATCCAAAAGGCTGAAATGTCTGATGGTGAGTGTGTCTAAGTGCTGAAGGGGTACGTTTTGATGCTGAGGGGACGAACTACGCGCTCCGGGGTTTGGGAAGGGACTGCACGCCTGGCTCCCTGCCTGTCTGTCACAAACACACGCAAGGTGAGAGTGAGAGCTGCCGGTCGGACTTTCAGCCTATTCCAAAACTAAGGCTAGATGGGCAAAGTGAGCTGCAAAATCTCTAGAGACAAACAAGCTGCAAAAACAACCCCTTTAAAACCCCCGCAATGACCATGTCCACAAGTAATTAACATACCAATTTCAGACGCTTTTTCCAAACGTTCCTCCCAAGGGAATGCCCATGGCAGAAGCCAACAAAACGCACTACTGGCAGAAAGGCCGGTGCCTTTAACAGCGATCAGCTCCTGCGACGCCGGGAGCTTTTCCCAACAATAATGCCCAAAGGGCCAAATTATTACCTGCCTTTTGGTTTGGGTAGGGTTTGAAGTGGCCGCCGTACACTGATAAATCAGCCCTTCCGGAAATCAGCGGGGCTCTGCTGACCCCAGCACCCTGCTTGGGCCCTGGAGCACGCGGCGCCGGGGGCTCCCAGCACCTCCTGCCCTTTGCGCGGGGATTTTGAGGGTCCTGCCACCTCTGGCCTGGGCTCTACTAGCCACCAGGGCAGGGACATCGTGGAGCCAAAAACATGCAAATGGACTAGAAAAATGGAAAAACTGCTGGAAATGGTGCCAGGGCTGCTCCTCGGATGAGTGACGGGTTGTGGTAAACGCCTCTTCAGTCCCTGCCTCTTACTGCTTTCACGGGAGTCTCCCACAGCCTCCTTTTCTGGCGAAAAAGGCACCTGGACTGCTGTGGCCCTGAAGGCGCGAGGAGCAAGGACTGCCTCTTGCGAGCAGGTATGACTGTCTGTTGGGGCTGCTTTTAACCCTACTGATACTACATCGTGGAGCTATTAGGTGGGATTTGACTTACTTTCCAGCATAGGTCATAGGCTGAAGAAAGGAAGCCGCTTAGGTGGCGGGGAGAGTGCTGCGGCGCACCCGGAGAGGAGCCACAGCACAGCCCGGGCGGGAGCCACGGCGCGGGCAAGGTGACGCCACCAACCATCACCACGGCCAGCGCAGCTCCGCTCTTACGCGATTTCCCCCTGAACAGATGGCTGCATTGGCTGTGAACCACTCATTATATAAAAGTCAAAAATTGTGCAACGATGAAATAAAGCCGCTCAGCTGTGCTGCTGAAAGCATTTCAAACACTGCCTGTATAAGAAAACCAAAGATCCTCTAATGCTGGAAGTATGCTTTTCGGCCTACACCCATCACAGAAAGGCAATCTATCTGCAGGGCAAGTACTACACCAGTGTAATAACAGACACAGGACCACGTCTTCCTTATCTGCGCTAAAGAGAATTAATTCGTGGCACTTCCTAAAAAGCAAAGTTTAAAGCACCAGTTTACACACGTTTAACACAGAACCACTGCATCCAATAGTTATTCCTGTGTAGCTGCTTCACTCAGAAAACATATCCTTTTCTTAGTTTTTAACTTAACCTAAAATAATACCAGTTTACCTGTTAGAAAAAAAAGTACTTTTGCATTTAAATCTTATTGACAAACGCCCTATACATAACATAGCATCGAAAAACAAAATACAGATCTGTGGCTAAACTGTCCCAATTTATTCATTAGTAGATGTTGGATTCATTAATGCTCCAGTCACAACTTGCATGATGCTTCATATAATCTGTACTCTACGAGCTTATTTTTAATCCTTTTGTGACGTACAGTGTGATACAGAACAGAAGTGCACAGTGCTTCAGCTGCTCTTTAATCGCTTAGGAAGCCAGAGAGGAGCCATGTGCTTCCTGAGTGCCAACGGAAGCACAAATTGCAAGTATGAATGAGTGCAAGTATGAATACTGCTCGCTCCTTGACTGAGTGAAAAAGCTCATTTTTTACGTATCTTTTTTTCTCTGCGCAGAGAGTAAAATGCAGTTTGCATTAGGCTCTCGCTCTGGTTCTAGTTTCCCATGGGCCTGTAGCACTGAACTGTGAGCCTCACCGACACGGCCTCCGGGCACAGATGCGGCTTACTGCCCGCATGACAGACCTACGTTGCTTGGATATCTGAGATTCCTACTTAAACACAGTTGTCTCTGAGTAAGTTGTCTGAGTAAGGACTAAGTCCTCCGTGTGAGGATTTGGTCGTGTCCTTTGACTCGAAGGTTGAGCACAATCTGTTTTTCTGAGTAACATCCTTGACCCGAAGGACTGCTTTAGTTACAGTTACTCACTGGAACAGTCTTACAGAGCACTACATTTTGTACCTGAAAGTAAAACAGGAGCTCTTGCTAACTTCCATCTCCAGTGGTTTTATGCTCGGACATCTCAGAACAGTATTTATAACACTGTTACAGGTCTGTTAATCCTTCCCATTTTAGCTCTGTTAACCAACATCAAAAATGGATTGCTGCTAGCGCACTCACACATTGGCTACTCCCTGCCATCACTGCAAAGGCTTCGCAAAAAAAGTGCGGCTCGCTGCAACTTTTCTGCACAAAATGGTACTTAGCAGACAGGCTGAATACAGCCACAGTGAACACAGAGGGCAGATGGAGTAACCTCTCCTGCAATATGCTCTGGGGAGTGAGTTTGGTGAAAGGGTTAACTCTTCTGATAGATTTGCCTTAGTGCACATACGTACACAGTTACAAATGCAAATCACACTTTCAAAGCAAACTGCTCATTTCTGGGCATAGCTACCACAGGAATTAATTTCAAAACGGATTTGAATATTATGCATCCTACCTTTACTTTCA